CCCCCCCCCCTCCTTCGAGACTTAATCGCATGATCCACTCATTTCACGGAACATGTGTACTAATCCCTCGCTTTCCCGTAGAGTAATGCATCGTGGTGAAAACGCTGCATGTCGTTGGCGCTTGGAGAGTAATCTAATCGAAATTAACGCTCGTCGATTCACATAAATTAGATAATATTTTCTTTTATTCTACCGCTCATATATGTATATATGTATTTTCCGATGTAGATCGGAACAGGTGCGCAATCATCAAGCGGCCATGAGCAACAAGAAGTACGACCTGTCCAAGTGGAAGTACTCTGAGCTGCGAGATGCGATTAACACGTCCTGCGACATAGAACTGTTGGAGGTACGTATGCTGCGACGAATTGATTATCTCGAACAATTAATCGTGATTTCGTTCACTGACTTATCTCGTCTGTGTGCGCGAAAACAGGCTTGCCGCCACGAGTTCCACCGTAGACTGAAGGTCTACCACGCCTGGAAGGCGAGGAATCGCAGGAGAACCACCATGGACGAGAACGAGAGAGCGCCAAAATCCATCATGGAGGAGGGTAAGTCCAGACAGACCCCCGCTCCCCGCGAGAGGTGCGGTGATAAGAAGAGGTCCTTTAGCCTCTTGCTCGAGAAACGGTAAATTGTGACGTAATTTCGAGCAAAAAGCGTTCCCAGCATCACCAGACGTCGGTATTCCTGAGATTTAAGGCTCGGCACTCTTCGCTAGTCGTGTTGTTTTTGTGACGTTATAAACGAGAAATAACAGTACGGTGAATTTCTTGCGTTTACATAGCTTTATTTCTTAATTTTCCCTCGAAGGCACAATAATTTTGCGACCTTGAAACCTGCAGAACGCGCGGAAAACTGAGGTATCCGACCGATGTGTCACGTAGAATCGCAAAATAACGGTTGACATAACGGGCCATTTTACTGGGATCTCAGCTATCACGACGGTCTGATCAATTTTTTCTCATATTCACTGTTCGGTCGTTGTTCATACGCTCAGCGTATACCCACACTTTCACGAGTACTTTCACTTTCCTCTTTTCTCACCAGATTATTATTATTGTAGGATGAATCTCCGGGCGATTTGACGGTATTAAATTGTGCTTTCCAGCCGCGAAGACACCGAGGACGCCGCTGAAGCAGCAAATAGTCGAGTCGTCGCAGAGATACTTCAGGATCCCGTTTGTTCGCTCCTCCGCGGCGGGGCAGCAGGACAATACACACGGTGGTGGCAAAAGAGGATGGTGGTACGCGCACTTCGACGGCCAATACGTGGCGCGGCAGATGGAACTTCATCCCGACAAGCCGCCGATACTTCTCGTAGCGGGTACGTCGCACACCACATGTGTCCGCGGCTAAAGCTGAGTGTACACTGAACGAACGAACAAGGGACGAACAGCGAATGCAAATGATCGTTGTTGCGATTTGGAAAATGTCCACGCCGTAACGAATCCGAACGCTTCGGGCCGTTTTGTTCGTAAGGTGGTTCATACGCGTTTAGACGCGAAATATACACATTCATATGGTACATTCGCTGTTCGATCGTTGTTCGTCTGTTCAGTGTACACTCACCTTAATGCTAATGTTTGCACTCTACCCTTTACGTTCCGAAGGCCGTGTCCAGAATTTATTACATAAAATTCGGGGAACGTGTGCACAGAGCTGCCTCTTGGGCTTTGAATTAGTTTTGAAACTGGCGGGTTAATTTAGAAATAAGTTCTCGAAAGCTGCATTAAGTTGCACGATTAAAATAAAGTAGACGCATATTTGACACGTACAGCGTATCAGTTTGTAGCAACACTGCTGCAAATTTCTGTGCTCTGTGGGTTGGTAAAGGAGAGAAAAAGTAGATGGTTAAAATTAATAGAAAAATATACAAAATAGTTGAAAAATTATATAATACAAAATAGTTCAAGAATTATAATAACTACGAAGGACAGCTGCGAACGGCAGCTATGAAGGACAAATTTATAAATCTAAAATCCGCGGTGGCGCCTCTATCAGGTTTTAAATTGGCTTTAAAAACTGTTTGATTTTAAATTTCAGATTAATTAATTTAGAAACAAGGTTGTGATTTAAAAGTCGAAAGACGCCGCGATATTTCAGGGAGCTCCAATAGATCGTTATCGAGTTCAGTTGAATTAACTGTTTTGTTTTCTTTCCTTCTTTTTTCTCTACCTTCCAGGTGTCGATGATATGCAAATGTGCGAGCTGAGCCTGGACGAAACTGGATTGACGAGGAAACGCGGCGCCGAGATCTTGGAGTACGAATTCAATCGCGAATGGGAGAGGTACGGCGGCAAGCCGTATTTGCCGCCTTGCGACCGCAAGAAGTGAGGACCGCCCGCGGCGGAGGAGAATCGTCTGCCTCCGTGTCGTCGTCGTCGTTGTCGCGGGAAGTTCACGACGCGGCGCTTACGTATCTTATAGTGTTTGCCCTCGAGAGATGCGTCCCATACGTGGGAACGCATCGGCGATTCTGTGCCTTGCGAAGTGTGCCTTGTGCATTGCGCGGCACGGATGACACGTCTGTAATTTATACGTTACGTCACAGGTGCATCGATGGAAGAGCGCTCCATCGGCATAATTAGCGAACACCTGACACGAGGGTTTTCCTGTTCCCNTTTTAATTTTTTTTTTTTTTTTTTTTTTTTTCTTAAATCGATCAGTATTCCGAAACACACTCGACGAAATTGCAACGTCGCACGGAAACGTCGAGGATCCGCGAGAGAGGGCGCGTCTAGGATCACGCTATTCGCAACGACTCTTCAGTTTTCCTCAGCGTGTTTAGGCTTTCGCACACGAATCGCCGTAACCGTAAACATAAAAAGTAAATTTAAGCTGAAAAATCAATCAGGACCTCAAAGAAAAATTTTCCACTATAATTAGGTATAAATATTTATTTGGCGTTTTATATAATTATATATAAGACGTCATATATAAGATATGTTCATATATAAAAATATTTAATTAAATATATAATTATATATAAATATATTTAATGGATTATGCATGATTATGAATGAATATATGTCAATATATATAATTATATATTTTATATAAGTATATATAGGCATATTCTAGATATAATTATATACGAAATATTTTTTTCCGGGAAACTGCTTTATATTTATACACTTTTAGAAGAAGACGGAACTCTGGGATATATAAATCTGATCATAATCAGAAATAACTGGAATTCGGCTCGTTAAAATCGGTAGTCATACGGTTACTTCCATCTTCCTGCGGATTACACAAACTTCAACATTCTGATTTGTTTTCCAGCTTAAGTTTATATCCTACGTCAATTTATGGTAACATCTCTTCGTATGCGGAAGCCTTTAAACATTTGCGCCTTTGAGCAGGTTTACAGGTTTACAGTCGGAAACGGAATATATGAGAGATATAGTCGAGGTTCTTTGTGTTAAGCTTGAGCATCGTTAGCACGCACTTCCGAGAGTTACATAGAGATAATTTCGTCATTTGTAAGGTCCGTTTACACACGTTCAGTAGTGATGACAGTTAGATCTTGGCCGACACATCGCGATACATCGGTCCGAATAAAAAGTATAGATCGCAGGGGGAAGACGGACACGAAGAAACAATGTATACTGCAACAGCGCGACCAGAGAATCATTGTGGAAAAATAAACGGAGTGATGTATGATATTCGAAGCTTCGGCCTGTCCCTCTCACTGAGTTAGTGAACTGGAACGTTCACAAAACGTCGGAAACGAATCTACGAAGGACGCGTCACGAAGCCGAGTAATGAATGATGTACGTTTGAAAACGTAACTCTACCAGTTTGTACGAAAGTATACATACATTTTATACCATCCGGATGATCTATCGCAAATTTAAGTATTTGATGCGACAAATCAACGTCAATCAACGAGACAACGATAACGTAAGATAAAGTAGATATCCTATTTGACGAAACAATATTTAAAAAATTTGTATACAAAGAGTGGAGATTCCATACCCGCAGTTATTTACGTGCGTCAGAGCATCGACATTCGTCACACTGTGTTTTTTTTTAAGTATCAAAAGATTTTCTCAAAGTAACGTCAGCAACCAGTTAGTCGCGTTTATTTAGCGCAGTCGTCGTTGCTGAAGGGAGGCGGCGTCCAGCCACCAAAGGCCTTCTCCAGTTCCTCCGCAACTGCCAAACAAAGACGATCCTGATAAGGCGCGGCTATCACCTGAAACGTTTCGAATATATTACTCTATAAGCCGATTATTTATTTACTTATTTATTTACTCATTCAATTAACGGAATTTAACAGAAAGATAACACACTTTGGTACACATGATTAAGGACGGAGAAAATTTATACAAAATTAATTCCAATATATATATAGATCGAAATTGTGTGCGAAAGTGTTTTTGAAATTACTCAATTTTATGAAAGGGCACAAATCGAACTACGTTTAAAGGAATTTGAGAAGTTATTGAAATTATTTATATTATGTCGATTATTGTCCGACGCGTTGCTCTCGCGTTGATCTCACGATCGACTTACCTGAACGCCTATTGGCAATCCGTCGGGATCGAGTCCCATCGGCACGTGTACTGCGGGAAAGCCGAAAATATTAAAGATGCCGCAATACGCGACATTTATAAATTCAAGCAATGCAAATCGAAGGAAGGTTGCCTGACGTCGTAAAGTCGGATATATGAACACTCCGTCCTCTCCCAACACATCCTGCAAAGAGACACGACTTGGTGATTGCGGATCGATGCAGAATGCTTTTCACTTCGGTGGCGCGAGTCGTCACAAGCATCACCCTGTCTTTGTTATTTAATGAATACGAAAGAAAGACTGCTCGTGTTTGACTTGCGTTACTAAATGGAAAGCATCGGTATACGGTAATTGTAGGGAAACCTGCGGCATAATGGGATATGGCCGAGATAACTTTTTAAAGAGATGCTGTCGTGTAATTTAAATGTTCTGCAATAATCACTGTTAAGATGTCTCTTACCGTCCTTTTAAATCATCCTTTCACTATAAAACTTGTCCTATAACGAAACTTTCCCTATAACGAACAATCCAAAGAATATTTTGGTGAAAAATTAAGTTGATTTATTTACTTTTAATATATTTGAGACTTGTTCAAACCTTAACGTTCCCATTACGCCCCGAGTTCCCCCATGTATGACAAATGTGTACTTTTGGGACACTGACCAGTAAATTTTGTCGAAGCTGTTCTGCATGCTGCGTGTAATACGATATATCCGACTTTGTGAAAAGGAAATGTGTTTTCAATAATAATGTGAAGAGGATCGCAGATATCGTGTGTTGCGACTTGCAGAAGAAAGCTTTCATCATCTCCACCGAGGGATTCTTCCGGATCTGGTGGTGCGCGTGGAAACGAGAACACGAGGTTAAATTGTACACTTGTGATTTATTGAGAAATGTATTAGAAATTCTCGCTGTGTCCTCCTAATGGCATTTGTGCATTGGGACATCGCGTCACGGTGTTACGGTCGCAACCATGTAGCAAGATTTTATTACACAACGTGGCTGTAATACCGCGTATTCTCGGCGAAGTGCGCCGTGTGGTGCGCAACATTTCGGTCCCACGAGAAAGGGACAATTATGCAACTCTCTGTTGCGACACAAGAGTGCCTTAATTTATGGTAAGAAGAAAATACCAAAAGAAGGGAGATGGATCTCCCTCCTTTTCCGTACGAGAAGAAGAAACGAAATGATACCTTGAGATCGCTAGATGGTATTAGTTGCGGAAACTTCTTTATATTCAATATCCCCACTATTGTTATCTCATGCTGCGTGACTGGCCAATCGATCGGTAACTGAAACCCCAAAAGCATGAAATGTTGCAATCAAATCGGTAAAAGAAAGGTCAGTGTGAGCCGGTATGCGGAACTTAGTGCGTGAGTTAAAAAAAAAAAGAATTCTTTCGGTCAAACTTAGTCAAAATTAATATGTTAGATATATATTATAATGTAATTTAACTCTCAAGTATTGTTTTTATTCTATTTCATTAAATGTGTTTGAAAAAACACAAAGAATTAATTTTTTGGGCAGCTTTTACTGTATCTAAATATGCGCCTGAAACTAAGTTTAAAGTAAATTTTAGGTTTTGTATATTATGTAACTTCTTTTGTTCCTCAAAATTCAACTTTTGCTCTTCATTCACTTTCATTATGAGATCAATGTTTTTAATTTCTCAGAGGGATGGTATAATAGATCAACAATTTAGTTTTTAACATATAAATTATTTGGAAAAGACCCACTTTTACTCACATTTTTTTTTTAATCTGACTTTCTTTACTTTTTAGAATCTTAAATGCACGTCATAGGCGCTTAGATACACGCGAGGGATACCTTTTCCGTGTGAATATCGCGCTCTTTGAAGTGATTTGCGGCTTTCAGGACGCACTGCTCGATGTTCGGCGATATCGGTAACATGCCGAATGATTCGTCCAAGCTTTGCAGGTAATAGACCTTTAATTGCTTCAAATCGACCGGCACAGTTAGACGCAAATCATGATTGCACGTTGACGTCAGTACTCTCATAAGCAGATTGAGATCTTCCGCGTATCTGGTCATCGGGCCGAAAGTTACGTAACTTAGAAAAACTTCATCGTCGCTTTCTGGTATATGTCCTTCGATCGGAACTATTTCTGCAATGTAAGAAAATGCGACTTTTTAGGAGGATTGGGAAGAAACGTCACACTTGCAGCACTATTGCTGTTAACGCAATTGTATATTTCGGATAACTCTAACGAAAGTAATCGTTATTTTTATCGTTAGACTGTAGCGATTTGTAAAGAAAAGGCTAAAACTAGCGAAGAGAACAATATAAACTGTAATAGATAATACGAGCGTGTCGAGAATTCTACACGTTCAACATATTTCTACATATTTGAACGTATAAAAGTTCACGTATAAAAGTTCACATTTCTACATATTTGAACGCAAAAGTTCTTAGCATGCGTTTCCTCACTTCTGATGTTATCAAATGAGAATAATTGCAGCGAAGCGTATATAACCGGAGATTTAATTAACGATTAAATTAAAATAAAGATTAGTATAGTAGTAGCGATAAGTAGTAGTAGTAGAACTAGTAGTAGTAGTAGTAGTAGAACTAGTAGTAGTAGTAGTAGTAGTAGAACTAGTAGTAGTAGTAGTAGAGCTAGTAGTAATGATAAGTCGATTATTCGAAAGAAAGAAGTTATCTCGACTCTTAATCGTTCAAAGATGATTTTGCAATTCTAGCGAAAATTATACTAGACAGAAGAAATTAGTTAAGATAATTGTCCAGTAAACACTTCAAACGTCTCACGTGTATCGTATCTAATCTATATGCGACAGAAACAGAATTTTTATCTGAACTATTTATCTAAATTAGAAAATTTCTCTGCGGAGCCTATCCGAATTAAGGCCAGTCATATTTATCATTAAAAATTAGTAACAGGACCTAAATATTCTTGGGCGTGTTGCTAGAATGCTGCTGCTGTAAATTATACGTACCACGGACAATTTTCCAGCAGATACAAAAAAAAATAGTGATACATTTTACCATTTGACATTTAGAACTCTGGCTGGACCAGCAAAATATTTCCCTGAGTGTATAAAATCTCGTATTGGAACTCCGAAGGAATGAATTTCAAGCAAATTTATGGAAAAAGGTATTAACTCACTGGACGTGGGTTTGTGTCCGAAAACGCCGTTAAAGAGTGCCGGTATTCTTACAGATCCGAGCAGGTCCGAGCCTATTCCGATCAAGGAAGCACCTGATCCGAGCAAGGCGCCCTTAAATGAGAATTCATTCGATTTGATTCATCCTTTGTTCTCTCAACTTCCGAATAGTTTCGTGATACCTGCCCGGCTGCAACGTCGTATGCGATCGGAAGGGACTTACCTCTCCGCCAGACGATCCGCCGGCAGAGTACCTGATATCGTACGGATTAAAGGTGGTGCCATACAGTAAATTTGAGGTGTCGATATTACTGCTCTGTTCCGGAGTGTTCGTAACACAAAGTGGAATCGCACCGGCATTACGGAGCAGCTTGACGATTGTGCTGTCCGCAGTCGCTTTCACCCCTTTGCGGGTCAAAGAGCAACCGGTGTGGCTAAGACCTGCGAACGCGGTCGACAACTTAATATGGGAGTCAATGTTTCCGCGCACTCCGGCATTGAAGTCTTCACACACACGGAGAAAATAATGAAAATTATCATAAAATTTTCGTGATACTGGACCATACCGGAATTATGACTGAAATTATCACGTGCGTTGTAATGTTTGGTGATGTGCATCATGTGTACACATCCTGGTGGAAATATTTTGCTGAAAGCAAAAATGATTATTTATTATGAAATCGATGAAAAATGAAGTGAAAATGATAGAAAAATGATTGAATATATCTTAAAACGAATCACGATTTTCCTTATGAAATTTAATGCCGTGAAACATGAGGAATTTAAATTATACTATTGAAAAGTACATAATTAATATACAAGTAATGACAATTTTTTTTGAAATATTATATATCATTGAATTTATTGAATTAAACTGAATGTTGAATTTTTATTAAAATATTGATAGAATAATAATGAAATAGGATTAATTGAGAGAGAATTTCAAATATATTTCAGTAAAATTTCATTATAATTTCAGTAAAATATTTCTATCAGGGCGCAATTAAAGATTACTAATACACACATAATAATTTTAATCATAACTCCGGTATGGTCTAGCATTGCAAAATTTTGTGATAATTTTTACCACAATATTTTCTCCGTGCACGAGGCTGTATCCTTCCAAAGCATATCTGGTAACCGTAACACGCAAGATAAACATAAGTAAAGTATAATTTGAGCAGCAGGCGCATTGACTAATCACATTCGAGGATTATCAAGAACACGAGATTATCATGTTAAATTCTCTAATGCTCCGCGATATAACATAATCTGTTGAAGAGGAAAGGAATGCAACGATTTTGAGAGCTTGTAAAAATATAAACTCTTCCGAGCCTACCTTTAACAGCGCAGCATTCTTTGATGGTGATGGGCACGCCGTAGAGCGGCATCTTTTCTTCCAACATTTTGACGTCGACCTTGCCGGCGGCCAATTGCTCGTCACAAATTTTCGCCTCTATTATAGCCGATCTATATCGATTCTCCACGACGGCATTCAAGAGACGATTCACTTCCTTTATTCGCTCTGTGTACGCGTACACCACTTCGTAGCTCGTGATCTATTTTGGTTCGATTTTGCGAAGAATAGACGGGTGATTTTCTCTTCTTATGTGCGAAAGTCGCGTCGTAAGGGGGAGTCGTACGTCCGGTTAAAGACGCGACATCCCAAAAAATATCCGTGAAAAATCCATCGGTTACGACTCACCTCTCGCTGTCGGATCTTCCTGGCGAGTGTGGTGGCGCTCAGCGTGAATAGGGGATTCTCCGTCGGTGGTATTTTTGACGGCTTCTTGCGATAGATAAGCGAATATATTCGGTATACTACCAAATATGTATACTGAATTATACTGAATAACGTGCGTATTGTCCAATTCATCTTCTAAAATTCAAACCCAACACAGTCGGCGCATTAACATTGGAATGTGTAGACAAGCAAATGTCATGACGGATGGAAATGTTGCGTTGTGTTGATGTATATTGCGATTATAAATGATAATTTAAAGATAAAAACTTACAATGCAAAGTTCAAGATATGTGACACACAATTGTACGATATACAATCAAACTATAAGATAAAAAATGTCTACAACAGCTTGACACAGGATAGTTTACGTGTTGTGTATCAAATCATGTGTTAAAATGCAATGATAATTACATAATTACATGCGTTTCGGTCTTTTTGGATCATTTTCAGTGTAATAAAATATGTCGTAAATGTTCGCTTAGCAACAATCGTGATTGTTTCAACGTATATGTCAAGGAATTAACGAAATTCACAACAACATCCTGCGTCAGGCTCTCACAGGCCTTCTCTATTTTATAACCTGATTAAAGATGAAAAGGAAGCCAGGTATTATTGTACTCGATAAGAGAAGATAATGTTACTTTCCTCCTTCTTCCTTTAAGGCAAATTAATATTATATGTTATCCTTTACATAGCATATAGATGTATTAGTCGACAGTAAAATAAAAGAAATTACGTGATGAAAAATCGAACTACTCTAGTAGCACAATTCATTGGTGATACATAAGTCCAATATTTCATGTAGTAGGATGACGTCTAAAGACTCCTTAATGACGTATTATTGACGTTAAAGACATCAATAATACGTCATTTGGAATATTGATTATATTGACATGGGAGGTGCATTGAACAAATATTGCCCGATATAAAGTTAGCCATACAGTCAAATTTGCAAGAGCAGATTTTGCGAAAGATCTATTATAAATTTTATCAACAGTTTGCTAGCAAAAATATAACTCCTTGGTTTGTTAGCAGAGCATGATAACAGATTAGAATTAGATAACAGAATCTGTTATCACAGCTAACAAATGCTGTTATGGGGCCATTCAACAATTATGTTACATCACGATGGTAGGGGGATGGGAGGGGAGGGGAGGGAAGCGATTTATTAAGTTGCATGACGGTGTGTAATAACAGGAAAAAGAGGGAAGCAATAAAGGTCATGCAACGTTACATTATGTAGCATAATTTGTATATATGTAAATATAGCTATAGTGGAATCTAGTTTATTTGCATTCGTGACACATTTGGTTAAATTTCGTATAATATTTAAGTTTCGACATAGTTGTGCGTTAATAATCGAAATGTTGATTTTTAAATATTTATTTTTTTTTAAAATACAACTTTTACAAGCAAAATTATAAAATAAAGTAATTTTATGATGCTTCCAAATTATTTGTATTTTAGAAAAAGATAGTAACGTACAATGTAATTGTTAGCCACAATATGGTCATAAGTTTTTTTTTTTTATTATATATGTCGGCGGAGGGAGAGTGAAGTAACTTCACATGTCACGTAATATTAAAAGACAACAAATATATTGTGACGAAAGAGGAGAGAGAGATAAAAAAAAATGTAGCGTGACACATTGCATGAGGATATAGATTACTACATATTCTTAAACTCTTTAACTTTTCGAGTCAAAATTATTAAATAATTATTAAAGGCATTGTATAAATGCTTTTGATGTTTCAAGAAGTTATTTTGGCCACCCAATTAATTTACGATAGTCCAAGACCCAATTTTTAGCGAACTTCAGCTGCGAAATTTGCTGCATTTAAAGGATTAAATAGTATCACTATTGTTGTTGTCCTTGGCCTTATCGAGTATAAGAAGATTATATTAATTTACAGTAAATCATTAATGCAGCCAAGACAATATATTCAAAAGGTGGAGTGACAGCTTAATATTTTCGACTTGAATATTTGTATAAATCAGACTCGAATGTCGGATCTGAATATATAAGTCGGAAACACGTTCAGATCATACGAAACTCGAAGTTGTAAATGCTGGTTATCACATAGATGAGAGACGAAAGACAAATACACCTCGTTCATAAAAAAAAAGTTAAAAAAATAAACAACAGGGCGGTATTTGAGTTTTTCAATGAGCATTTCGTAGCTGTCAACAGTATGCGTGTGTAACAGTATTTCGTTATATCATTATATACATACAAGAAGTATCGCGCATACGAATTAGCGAGTAAAGCGTAATATCCGTTTTGGGTTTAGCGCCTGGAATTACGTAACAACCTTCGCGTTGAGAATCATGGTTGCACGACGTTATCGACAATATTAATGACAACGCCAGGTGGTCTTGCCATTGGATTTCATGTCACGATCCACGAAGAGTAAACGTGACTACGACTCTTCCGATGGTAGAATAGCGATCGCGGACAAAGCATTGAATAATAATTTATAACGCAGATGGCAGTTTTTGTCAACCGATTGTCTGAACTTTTTCTTCGTCTGATAATAATCTTACAAATAGCGCACCTAATATAGTCGCTCGTATGATGTCTGTATATATGATTAGTATATTAGATAACTACACTGGCAATTAGATACGCAGTCAGACAGTTATTAGAACACATTGCTCACTGAGAAAATAGCGATTGGATCGGCGGTTATTTCATTCAAAAACAATATTGTGTCTTCTGATCAAGTAAGCAATTACTCGTTGGCACAACAATATCTTACGTTTATACACAGAAAAAAAGTAATTTTAAATCAGTGATAGATATTCTCTAGTATAAGCAAGAATATTATAATATTCTTAGAAAGTTTTTAATCTCGAATTGAGTGCAAGGAGTAATATTTGCATCAATATCAATTCAGTCAAATCAGGACTAAAAGTCTAAGAAAATTATAATATTCTTACTTATATATGAGAATGTTCATCACTGATTTAAGATTAATTTTTCCCGTGTACAGTTGTTGATCAAATCGCAATCGTTGAATCAATTGATAATTCATCACAGCAATTGTAAGATTTGTTCAATGGATTAAACGTTGGGCGAATTGTGTTTTTTTAAGCAAAATTTTGTTGAACGCACCAGTTTTTTTTTTTCTTTTAATGTAGAGCGTAATATATTCGTTGTAACATTCGTCAGCAACGCCGATTTGAAATTTACCTCGCGGAAATGTGCTTGTTCCTGTAATTTTCATTATCGCGTTCACGTAACAGTTTTTAGTTCTTTCCCGCTTTTGTGATGGTTTCTTTACGAAAGTCGAGTACACATGTTACATTATTCGTCCTCTCTCTCTCTCTCTCTCTCTCTGTCTTTCTCTCTACCTTTGGATCACGTACAGAACTTTTGCATTCGACTCTCTCCGTAGGTTTGTTTCACGCTCGAAAAGATCGAAAACCTTCGACGCGTTAACAATCACTTCCCCTTTCATATTTCACGATGGTGCTTCCCGCGGCGGCAGGTTACTAATAGAAACGTTCGCGTCAAAACTAACCAATTAGACTCGAGAATCGTCCTCCTTAGCCAAATATACATTTATTCGTCGTTCTCCAAACATTTTTACCTTTTCCTTTTCTTTACATTAAATTTGTCATTAAGTTCTTTTTATACTAAGTCGCGCTAGTCTTCTACCTTGAGTAATTCTACTCTATCGAGCGGTGTGCGTTTTTGAATTTAGATAACAATTTTTTCATCGTCATTAAATGCAAATGTAAGAATCACATATTTTGTCACAGGATATAATTAATCGTCAGTATATTTCCGCTTGATCAGCGTAATTATCCGTAATTATCACTCGCTCAATGTTCGTGCGAAACTGAAATTTATGAAAAGAATTAGAATTTCTTATATAACGTTATATTATGACGTTTTTTGCCGCTATAGATTAACATAATGATGCATGGTTTTGACGTAACGCTCGGAAATGCAAGCAAACGGCGAGAAAATATATGAAGAAAATCCTTACCATACATAACGTGAAGGTTTATTTAGACTAAAGTGCGTAACGGATTCGTTTGCATAGTCATTACATTAAATTAAGTTCAGTTAATTACGTAAGATTCAGATACGGATTTGAAAAATAGATCGACGAGAAAATAGATCGATCGATCAACTTGCATAACGTCATGCTAAAACATTCTTCGATATATATTCTTAGATATTTTATTCTATCGTGCTATATACACTGAGAAGAAGGTTTCTTCAAATTTAATAAATTTTATTGCATCCAAACAAATTTCATCATTGGCATGCTCCAAAGAAATTAATGTTTCGATTAACCAGTGATGCTGTGATATCAGGTGAGGATTTTAGAAATTATTAACGTTAACGATGAGAAGTAGAGAAAAGAATTGGCTTCCGCAGTGAAAAATTAGCTTGCACAGTTAAAAAAGGCTGCGTCCAGCGGAAAAAGCAGCGCTAGTAAGCACTTTCCGCTGGACGACACTTGATGATTTACTCTGCTCCAGCATGTTCACTAAGCGGTCAAGCGTGTCAAAAGTATGCTACAAAAAATGGTGATCGCTTAGTAAACGCGTTCCAAAAGCGTTAACCGCTGATGTCGTTCGGCAGAAAGTCTTACGACAGTAGCAAATTTATTCACGTTTCCTTCACAAAAAGAGAAGCAGCGGAATACGGTTGAGCGACTAATTTCAGACGAGAAATCGCATTGTTTCTTTCACGTTTTATTTACAAGAACAACAGCAACAGAGTATAGTCCAGCCACTAATCTCGCGGCGAGCAAATTGGATTGTTTCTTCACGTCTTATTCATAAATCAACAGTAGCGGAGTGTAGGTAAGTAACTAATCTCAAAACGAGGACATGAATCGTTTCTTCTACGTTCTCTTCATGAAAAGAAACTTTTCCTTCAAACATTCTCACAGTTTAGAAAATTGCTTTCTCGTCGCGGAACAACGGATCGACGATGGCTTTAAGACGACGAAGATAGTTTCGATCTAGCACGTACCATCGTGAAGAGATGATCTTCAACAAACGTGACTGTGTGTCTAGCTCCTTTATCAACGCGAAGCCCTTTCTTGCTCCGAAAGTGCAATTACGACGGCGAAGGTCTCGTCGGACGAGAAAAATATACCGAAGAGAGGCACAAAACCAATAAGAAAGGTCCTGGTTTTCTGCTTTCTAGGGCTGATTTTCGACGCGTTGCTTTCTCTTTCTTTCAACTTTTCAACCGGCAACGCGTCAATGAAATCGACGAGGAACGCGCATTCGCGAGCTACTCCACACTGAATTGCGAGCGGACTGGATGCAACGACGCCACGAACCGTGTTTTTAACAAAGTTCCAGATGGTGGGGGGATCCCGAGAGCAGAAATGTCTTAACGATATTGCAAGTGTGAGTTGTTACCGACGATAATCGATCAAACAGCGACCGGGGACCTTTGATATGCACGATTTCTTTCAACGCTAATAATAGACACATCGGAAACGATGAAAGAACATCATCTGCGTCGGGAATAAAATTGCAATTCATCGTTCATTTTCTTCCACCACTTCGCTTCCCACTAAGAATCTCACCGAGGCGGTTTATCGCTCCCATCTGTAACATTCAAGTGAAAGTCAACAAAATTGATCCTCTCTACGAAGCTCTGTGTAAAGTTCCTCATACCAGAATCAGATTTATCTTGGAAAAGGTAGTAATTAATCAACGCGTCACCCGATGTTCTCCCGCTTCCTCATGTTTCACGGAAGAGAAGTATTGCGCGCGAATTTATTGTGACACGACACGAGGAGCAAGTGATCGAGAGGAATAGAAGTTGGAGGAGAATAAAGGCGGAATTTCCACTTTGATTTACAATAATATTGTACAAGAAAAACTTACAGAGAAAAGGAATTAGCCCATATGATTCAACTGAAATATACACAGAAAAGAATCGGTCTTAAATCAGGAATAGGTATTCTCATACGCATAAGCAAGAATATTATAATTTTCTTAGAAGGATTTTTTTCACTTGATTGAATTTGTATTGATGCATTATTTGCACTCAATACGAGACCAAGAATCTTCTAAGAATATTGGAATATTCTTACTTATATATGAGCATATCTACACGAAGAAAATATTCTAGTAAAAATTACCACGTAAATTTTGTAATGTTGGAATTATGTGTGTTGTAATCTTTAGTGATATTGTAAGCAATAAAGTACCGCAGCAAACACCAACTAATAATAACATAAAATCAGTGTTATCATTTTTCACTCAATAATATAAGTGCAATAAAACGCGTGTGTTATATGACAGTTATGCTTTTACTCGGTACGTTACTAAAAATTACAACGCACATAATTTCAATTATAATTCCGGTATGGTCCAACATTACAAAATTTGGGTGATAATTTTTATTACAATATTCTCTACGTCTATCATTAATTTAAGGCCGGTATTCATAATCAGATCTTATATTTAAGACCGTTCTTAAGTTCATCTTCAGACGCTTAGTAGCCAATGAAATAAGCCATATAGCAACTAAAGATAAACTTAAGACGGTCTTATATATAAGATCTAACTATAAATATCGGCCTGAGACTATTATTTTCCTCTATAGTTACCAGACCTAGTTTTTGGCTATGGGAGCGAAAAATTAGATACAGGAACGAAAAGAATTAGCTAAATTAACTAAATCTGAGTTGTATTACACGGACAGCTAATTTTTACCTATGAGGACTAGTTTTTAGTTACAGGAGCTACTTTTTTCTTTCGTGTAATGAGAACTGCTACAATTAGTTACAGCAACAAAAAAATGCACACTCATTATATCCCCGCAGAAAGCAAATGACAACAACGGAAAGTATTATTTTCTCTCAAGAATATGATTTTTTCGAAAACGATCAAACGATCAAACGATCAGAAAACGATCGAATTAAAATATCGATGCTCCGTTATCACCCATACACAAATGTTCAACAGACAATCTTAGAAACGTCCCAGGAATATTCAAACATCCCTAGGAAGTCTTTAGAATGTATCTTTAATATTTGCATTATCAATAATCGCGAGTAAAATACGTGGGTAAACACGAGCGTTCAAAGAAACACAACAGCGCCTCAACTGAAGTACGCAGACTTTAACTCGAGCAAAGCGAGCAGGTCAAACGTTAACGTTGACAAAAAACAACAATAATTATCTCCGTCCTTCGATCGGTCGAGACTAATTTGTAATTAATTTCCTCTCTTCTTTTTGTCGCCTCTTCTTTTTGCCGCGATAATCGCGCCGGGCGCCTGATGGGATAATTACGGTAGTGCAGCGCGGCAAGGATAGAGGCCGCGCGGCGCGTTGATTGGCCGCTCTTTGAAGCGGCCGGCTTGGATCGAGCGCCGCGAGAGTGCGCGCGTCTCGGACTCGCGCGAGAGAGCGGCCGATGGCGACCAAGAAGTGCCTGCGAAACCGCCGCGAGCAGCCGCGACAAGCTTAGCGCAGCGCTGTCGGGCCGTCGCGCGCCGTGTACGCGTCACCGAATCACGTCGCGTTTCCGCGATTTCCGTCCCAGCGAGGTGCGTGTCCACCAGCGAAGGTGCGGTGCGTCTTGTCTTTCCCTCTCTCTCACTCTCTCTGTCTCTCTTTCTCCTCGTAACACGGCGGCAACGACGTCGCGTCGTGCCCGTCGCGAATGCGTGCCGCGAATCACCGGGCGCGTGTGTCTGTGAATGCGTGCGTGTGCCCGACGGTTGGTGCGGTGCGGTATCGCGCGTTTGGATGTGCATGCATGTGCTGTGCGCGCGCGCCCTGTTGAAGAAGCGCCGATCAGCTCACGGTGGTGGATCGTCGTCTGTGCCGAGCGAGGGAGACGGAGATACGTGTACACACGTAGGTAAATATCGGAGAGCGAGAGGGAGGGAGAGTGTGCGCGTGTATGTGTGTGAGAGAGACAGAAAGAAAAGAAGGAGAAAAATCACCGATGTGTGTTCGCGTTGCAGCTCGCACCGTCGTCGCGGCTACTAGAGTTGACACTTGGGGAAGGAGCATGGACCAGCGGCATCAGTCGCCCCGGCGTCAGTAAACACGAGCACCGACAGATATACAAAGTGAGTCATTGCTTTCCATCGTTTCTTCCCTCTTTCCATTCTTCCTTCCTTCCTCCCTCCCTCCCTTTCTTTCCTCCTTTCTTTCTTTCTTTCCTTTCTGCTTCTCTTCAACTTGTCTCTCGACAACGCGTTTCTCAATGATATCTGACCCCAAATAACGAGCGTGCAAATGAGACATCCTTGAGGGAACATTTATATCTTTTAAAAACGAGCAGTGGTAGGCTTCCTTTTTTCGGGATAATCCTCATCCCAAAAACACGAATACGTCCTAATTACTGGCAGGTCGACTTCGGAGTTTACACGAGCCGAAAAGCCTACGTGTCCACAACACCGGAAGCTTTACCTAGAGTCTGTTTCGTTTTCGGCCAATATTATCAATGAACATTCTTCTCGCGAACATTCATATGTGCGTTAAAAATCTATTAAACTCGTCACCTTCACACATTGACCTTCGTCTTTCCTATATTTGTGTTTTTTCATTATTTTTTGTTTTTTCTTTTTTCACTACATTCGGCTTACCCTCGTCTCATTTGCGATAGAAATTTTCGCGGGAAAATAGTCACTCAAAGATCGTGTTTAACAACATCATCGTGTACAAACGTGAAGCATCGCAGTCAAAATCACTGTCGAGATCTCTATCGAGTGATCCACGTGAACGTTTCTCATTACGTTCCTACGATATTCAGCCACACTCGGAGATCTCTCCCCGTCCTTCCCGCTTTTGCATCGTGCACGCGAGACGCACGTATACGCACGCACACGTGAGCGCGCACACCGTCGGGCGCAGCGGTGCGTTTTCTTGTGCGGCGGTGTTTCCACGGTTTTCTGCGGTCGGCGCTTTCGTTTCGACTGGTCGCGATGCTTTTTCTTCGGCGCTCCTTGCCCGGCCGTGTCGATGCTCTCCTACTCCATATACCGGGTGTCGTTTTCAGCCGTGCCGCAGAAAAATAACAAGCTTTCCGAGGGTCACTTGTCCGCAATCTCGCTCCAAGATATAAGCGATAAGCAAATTGACCGACCGTGATCAATTATTCTTCTAACGAACGACTGTAGTTGATCCACCTGATTACTGCTTACGTCTTAAAGCAGGAATAAAGATTGTTGACAAGGGAGGGGGGATTTAGAGCTATCCGACACGACGTTAATGATCTAAAGCGGGGTCTACAATGAGAATTTAAGTTCTAAGTCTTAAGAAATTGATCAATCAGCCGATTATTCCCCTCACATTCGACTGTGATCGGTCAATTTTTTGAAGTTTAAGGCTTAAAACGTATATTGTAGATCGGGGCTAAAGCTCGGGGAAGAAAATGAAAACTCGATAAAGTAGATGTTCGTGCACAACGGAGGATTAACTTAGCCGGGGACCTTAATTGCAATGTCTATATTGACACGTTCCGTGCCACGTGGGTCACCGGTGGTGGCTCACGCTGAACTTACCGTGTAGGTCGTTTGACGTTGCGGCTCTGTGAGGAAATGTACGCGTCGAGTTATCAACGAACATGTGTTATTTGACAAATAAAATATGTCTTACAATGCGACCACGTGGATCGAAAAAAGTGCTACTATTCGAACAATATTGATTCGATATTGGTAAAATGGTTACTCCAATATTCCTTGGCAAATATTTACCGAAAGTAGAGAAATATAATTGACTATATAGAATATGTATTCTTCGTATAAGTGGACATTTGCCTGTATGTGTTGAAACAATTGTGTTAGATTCGTAACATTTGAGAACATGAGGATTTATTTTTCGAAAATATTCATCGGACGGAAAAGTCGAAATTTGAAATCACTAGATCTCTTCGGTGGTAAGGAAGTATCACGTATAATTCTAGTGATACTTTCTCAAACGTTCGGTAATTCATTTGTAAATTAAAGTATCGCTGCATTCGAATATTTACTACAAGCGAAAAAAAATATACTTAAACTGGTAAAAATATTGCTTCATTGAAAAGGTGGAGAAACAAGTAATTACGTTTGCAAATAGTTACGTTGATTCTAGCATTTTTTTTTTCTGCGCGATGTGGACGGACAAGTCGTGTAAAACTGGCACGGAATGTGTTAGCCATTACCGTCGTACACCTTGGACCTCGTAACGCCTCGTGAGCTTCGAAGCGTTTTCTCATACGCAGGATTAATAATATTACACGTCGGTATGATAGAATGCTTTGAAGCGACTACTTAATCCCTCCTTCAGACGGCCACGTTAAACGGCAAACGTGCGGGGCGACAAAAGTTCGGTTGAATTTCCGTCGACGGGCGAAGAGACGCGGTGGAAGGAAACGAAATTTCTGCTGGTGAGAATCGAATTTGGTCCGCAAGAGCCGGAAATTCTGTCTCCACCCTCGAAGAGCTACCGCAAGCCGGACGTCCTGCCGCGAATCGGACGGTAACCGGCGGGCCTGTTGACATTTGAACCGCGACGAGCCGCACGAGGACGGCGACGGTGACAGTGCGAGTGCAAAGCGAGAAAGTGACGTCGTCGCCGGCGACGAGGAGGAGACGCATCGTGCCGAGAGTACAAGGCAAGGATAATGATATTACGGTTTAAAGAGACGGCTTAACCTAACCGTTAGTTTATTGGCGTGAAGGAGTCGCGGAGCGTGTCTACATCAAAGCGGCCGCTTCCGAGCTCCACTCTGCCCCACTCTCGTTTCCCGCCTCCGTCCCCCTCCTCCGGCAACCATACCAACCAACACCACCACCACTAGCCGGCACGTCTATCCGCTTCACCGAGCTAAGCTCGCGCAAGCAGCACCCTCGCACCGAAGGCAGACGGCGTGCGCGCGTAGCTGTGTCGGCTATTAACACCTATTAACATCTGAAACGGGCGCACCCCGCAGCAGACGTATCGGTCCGCAGAAATGCAGATCTCCTCCCGTGGTAGAGACACTCGGCTGCGCGGTTGACTCTCTCGGCGTGTCCCGCTCGTCGCCGAAAGACGTGCCGGAGTGAGGAGGATGCCGGGATGATCAAAGTGAGACGCTCGGAAGAAACGGGGATAATCGGGGGGCTGGAAGACTGAACAGTCGAATTATCGAGGGGCAATTTGCGCATTCCGCCCTGTTGACGCGTTGCAAAATTGATTTAGAAAGTATTCGCCGGTTTATCGTTAATCCACGGTTTGGCGTTCGGCGTTAACGCAACGCGAGCGATGTAATAATAAGTGTCTTTCGCGTCTTTCGTTACTCTTCTAAGTTTCTCTTGACATTTTGCGACGCACGCTGACATAATGAAATATGTAAGTGCTCCACTGATTTCTCCTCTTCCGTAAATTGAGTTTTGCTGACGACGACACGAAGCAGGACTGTACAATTTGTATAATATTTTTTAACGACGTGCTTAAAGTTTTTTTTTCTTTTTCTTAATTTTTATGTTGCAATAACTTTTCTGACAATGCGCTCACATATCGGCGTCTGATTCTTTCTTGCTTGCTTGTTGAAATTTCTCGCATTTATGATTGCTTTCCAATTTCTCAAATATTCCGGGAGGAAAAACGGTTATTTTTGCTAAAATATTACAGTTATCCTCGGGTGTTTTTTTTTTTGTTCTAATAAAAAGGTAACACAATGTATGTGAGATCATTATCGTTAACGTGTTGTAATAGCACTTGCTATAACAACAAAATGACTTTCCTGGCTACAATTATTTTTCACCGCATAATTACACGGTAAAAAAGCAGGAATTTTTAAAAAATCGGTCTATGTTAAAAGTTCTGTGTTGAATTCTCAACATAGCCGTGTTTATGTGTTGATATTGTCATTGTGTTATTTGAAGATGTTGCGTCGAGTTGAATTCAACATTCTCTTGTGTTGAAATTACACAATTGATGTGTAGGCATACGTTTAACATGCGCGGTAGCGCGCGTCATGTCCCCGCGGAAAGACAATGCGGCGGCTTTGGCGACGAACATTAATCGGGGACTGCTAAACTTGAAAGAACTCGGCGGTGTGTGTCGGCTCAGTTCAAAGCTATACGCGAACCGACTGCGCGATAGCGGCGACCCGCACTCGGTCGTTCGCTCGCTACCTGGCACCCCACGATCAATTACAAGCTCTACAGTTACTTCCCCTCGGTAACAGTTGCCATCTGTTAATTTTTGATATGTTATTTGTGTTACTTCTTAACATACTCATCCGGTGAGAAATTAACATGAGAATTTGAGCGGACCGTGCGGGACACGTGAAGTGTGTTAAGTTGAACACACAATTTTTTACTGTGCACTCACAAATACCGGACGCTTTATTCTCAAGTTAAAAACTGGTGATCCTCGACGAAGCACGCACGAGTGTGAATGACAATCCTCGAATAACAAAATTGGTCGGATCCGTGTTCCAACGCGCTTCCACCAAAGTTATATTCAGATATTTCACGTACTTGGCGGTATGTTTTATTAATTTTTAAATATTTTCTAACTTATCGTGGGAATAAGAAGTGCCTAGTGTCGAGGAAATTAGTTTGAAAAAACTGCAAAATGCCAGTCGGACCCACACGAGCCTTGTTATCCGAGGATTAATTTCGAAATCGGTGGCGTTCTCTCGGGAATACTCGGTCTCCGTTCTCCGAATGTTTCTCTTCGCCACAACTTCTTTTGATTTTCACGGCGGAATAGCCTCGGTAATAGATAACGCGTCTGGCCCAGGTCTGACCGATCACGCAAGTGGTGGAGACACGTGGCCACCCTTTGCGAGCGCGAGAAGGTTGACGAGACGAGAGAGAGGTATACACGGTGGTACGGTTTGGGAATCCCTCAACGGAGCGACACGCTGCGAAGCATCGACAAAGTAGCTGACTCGGGGGTTGCGCTCCGTTCTTCGTGGTCGTGCCATCGCGTTTGATACCACGTGCTCGCGCCGGGAGTAAAGGGGCCGACATCGGAAGGGGGAATCATCGCGTCCTCCCATTTCGATATCAAAGACACTCTCCAGCGAGAACCGCTAAAACGATGCTCTTTGACATCACAAAGCTCGTGTCTCTCTAACCTCTCTCTCTCCCCC